AACCTGGCTACTTGGACTGCCAGAGGGATATGATTGGACAATGATTCTCACTGCGTATTGGAAACAAGTTCAAGGTTGAGCCACCTCCAGGAAGCATTCTAAGGAAATTGCCTCTCACGACAGTCAAAAACTTGGCGATGGTGGGGTGGTCAGGGTTGCAGAGAACCAGTGTTGTTCCTCTTCTTTGGTTTCATAATCCCCATTCCTGTTCTCTCCCTTAGTACCTCCTTCCTCTAAGTCTCCTGACTGCTTTTCAGACATGTTTTATTTCCATTTGGGGGGAGTCCTAAGGTAAACCGAAGCAAAGCTGGTTCCATTGACTCCCCTCAGAGCATCTTGATGCAGTTCTGTGGAAGCAAGAGGTTTACATCATGGGCCTCAGCCTTGACTGCTGACCTTAGTGTCACTTTGACCCTATAAAGTACTGCGGTGGTTCAGGCTGGTCCTGGCAGAATCTTGTGGGTGAGCTCAGCTCAGGTATCTTTTTATTTTTTAAAAGTTCCTTAGAGTTTTTTTTTAAAGTGTGCTACCATGATGATGTCTGGAAGAAATCATATCATCTCTGGAATAGATAAGAAATAGGTTTCTGAGCACCCTAATGTGGCTTTAAGAGTGCCAGCCAGATGGCACTGCATTTCAGTTCAGTCCGCATAGTCAGGTTGGGCAGAATTTGGAAACTTTTTTTTCCTATTAAGTGCTGCCTGCATGACTCTTGGTAGGGCTCAGAAACCATTGTTTCTGATCTGGTTTGAGACATATTTGTTAAGTGTGTGTGTGTGTGTGTGTGTGTGTGTGTATGTGTGTGTGTGTGGTGACTTCCAAATTCCCCTCTTTCCTTGATTCCTCTGACCTTAGTGGTCTAAAATGAACGATGCTTCTGCTTCTGAGTCACGCTGTTTGAAGGTGGTTGATAATTAATTTTGTTATGGCTATATAGTTTAGCATCATATCTCCCTAGGTATGTTTTTAACTCTCTTCTCCCCCCCCATCCCTCCCCCTCTTTTTCCTTTCCATTTCTTCCAACCCATCCTTGCTTTCTGTGAGCCTGTGTTGAATAGCCCAAGCTATTGCAGCTGGAAACTCTTCTACCTAAACCTCCATAGTACTGGAATTACTGGCACATGTGGTTATATCTGACCTTATTTTTCATAATCGATTTTTAAGTGCTGAAAGTTCAAAGGAGCACACCAGTAGGACAAGTGAATTCCTAGATAGTTTGAAACAGCTGAAAGATACTATTCTTTGTCTAAGCCCGTTGTATCCCACCATGGAGCTCTGCAGTCACCCTAACTGTAGGTCCAATTCTAGACTCCACAGGGGAAAGGAGAAAACCTCTTCTAGATAGGTAGAATTTAAGCGGTAGGCATTACCACCTGCCAGTAAAAAGGAGTTGTATTCATTTTAATCCATGTAGCAGTGGGAAAGACAGATTTCACCAGAGGCTAGAATGTGATAACATCTCATGACCTTGGCTGTGAAATTAGAATGGGGCAGGGGTTGGGGGTGGCTATCTGAAGAAAAGGCTTCTGAAGCTTAGCAGTGTGGATTCTCTAAGGATGTTAGAATTCTGCAGATCTCCTAGTTGGTGTCAATGTCATGTTGAATGATGTAATTCATGGCTGAGCTATTAAAGAACCTACAGAATGACAAATGTTGCATCACTGTGTTTGTACGTTATCCACTGGACTACGGAGGTTGCTCATTAAAAGCATAAGGGAAAGTTACCCATCTTTGTAAGCATGCCTCTTTCCTGGGACTAGAGGAATAATTTGCTCATGAGATACATTTGAAACACCCGAACTTTGTCAGCCAGCCCGACTATCAGGAAGTATGAATCAACAGGATGAATCTCTCATAGCCTGAATGCTGGTCATTCGACCAGCTCGTTGTTGTTGATGTTGACTGTTCAAAATCCCATCTTGGAAACAAGCTGGTATGTAAAGGGTTGTCTGCTGTTGATGCAGTGTGTCATCTGAGTGTCTGGGTGAGCTTGTGAATTTATAGCAAGTTAGGGCCACAGATGTCATTTGCTATTTGTTTTCTACTGTTCAAAATGTCTTGGCAGTCTACTAAGCAAGCCTGCCAATTTGGTGACCTTGGAGAGATACCCTGAAATATCCTTGAGGTCTTAGGTTAAAATTCCACCGCCTACAAACACCTTCTTACTATATATGCCCTAGCATCTCCTTTATCATCACAGCTCCCTGGTCCTTTCCTTCCTCCTGCTGATCACATGAAATTTCTCTCTGCCTGTCTGTTTCAAAAATTGCTTACTCATTGTGTATGTACACTTTAGGATGTCAGCTGACATCACATGGATCCCTCAGGGTAGCCTAACCCAATGCTGAGCACCCTGACAATACTTCAAAAAGATTGAATTAATGAAAATATAAGCAGTATCCTATACTCTTAAATTCCCACTGCCCTGCAAGCTCTGGTTCATTTTAAAAGATATTTTTTATTTTCTTGTGTGTGTGTGTTGTTTTCCATGACAGAGTTTCTCTGTGTAGCCCTGGCTGTCCTGGAAATCACTCTGTAGACCAGGCAGGCTTCAAATTCGTATAGATCTGCTTGCCTTCCCAGTACTGGGATTAAAGGCGTGCACCACCACTGTCCAACTTGATTTGTGTTAAGTAGTCTGCTTGGAGATATTTAGGATATTCCTTGAGGCATTTCATAGATAATATTTTATTAAAAGGCTTTTAAAATCAATTATCCACATGTGTATTACTTTGTAACATCTTTACATGTGCGAGAGTAGAATTGCTGCCTCTTTAAATCTGGGTACTTCTGGCTTATCTTGAGTTAATAAGGTGTTGATCTCCAGATGCTAGGATTAAATGAGATAAAAAGTTCACACATGCTCGGAAGAGGGAATCAGTAAGTGTTAGTACAAGAAACAAGAAACTTATTGTACTGAAAATACTGGCAATCTTCTCAACAGAATCACTCTTGGGAAACATAAATTAGGAGAAAAATGGAGTACTCCCTACTTGTATTTGTAACAGAGACATTCTACTGTCTTTCTCTCATAAACAGGATCAGGACCACAGTTTTTCTTCTGGGCTGCCTGTACTTAGCAAGACTTTCTTTTTCATTTTGTAACAGAAAATGAATTTGTTGCCTGTAAGCTATCCTCAGCAAAAGTAGTTGGGAGAATTCGAAAGAGTGTGGTCCAGGGAATTGGTAGATGTTTTCCCAAAGAATTTTAAATGTGAAATTCTGTGGTATTTCAACAAAGAAGCTGGACAAAGTGTTTTTCAGCTGAGATCAAAGGGCAAGCAGATACTATTGTTTAGCCCTCAGATGGTGCTTCCTCTGGCTGTCCTCCTAAGAATGGGTATAAATCCTTTTTTAAATGTGCTGAGTCATGTTTAGTTCCTCTGCCTGAGAACCTGCCTCTGATTAGCCAGGGGAAGACTTTCCCTGGTGGTGGAGTCTTTGGGCTAAGTGGATAAAAAGGTGATGTTCAGCATTTTCTTCACAAGTCATGGTTGCCTTAGATCAGGGTGTCTTGGGAGTCCAGCTGCTGTAAATGCTGGATTTCATTTTCTAGGGCTAAGAATTGAACCCAGGGCCCAACACATGCCAATACCACCCTCTGCCACTGAGCTACACCCAGCCTCAAAGCAGTATGCTTCATGGATATGGCTGGAGGCTGTGGAGACTGCCTGCTGTTTGAGGATAAGTGGGTAAGCCAATGCTAAGGGTGATTGGCTTACCCACTAGTTAGGAAAGGAAAGTGGAGGGTGAGTCACCTTTCTGCCAGCTTTGTCACAAGTCAGCCCTGCCCTCTGCTTCCCATTCACATCAGAAATGGCACTATTCGTGGAATGTGTATTTTATAACTTGATATAATTATTGTGGTTTTGTTTTTAAATATCCGTTTGGAGCTGCTTTTCTCTGCTTTCTCTTTTCTGAGTTTCATCCGTTTCTCTGTTGTTGGCTTCCAGCAATGGAAAGAAAGTAGGCACTGTTTTAATGAGGTAATTTTGTTTCTGATTAGAAGCTGTCATGAATATCTAGTTTAAAGCAGTGGAAATCAATACAAGAGTAAGATACTAGTAGTCCATTTACAAGGGCCCACGCATGTAAACAGCTGTTACACATTAGCCTCCCCCCCCCACCTCACACGTGCCAGCCATCCAGCCCAGCTTCCCTGGCCACAGGCTGTCACCCAGGAGCTGACGAGCAGAAAGGCTGGGGCTGGTGTCTTTCTTTCACTATCAAAGAACCGGTGTGTTCTGTTGTTCCTGTTTCTCTCTTGCCACTGAGACAGCCGAGTTAATCTCATTCAGGCACAGTGTTCTGTCCCGAAACCCTCAGCCACTAGTCCATGCTCATCTGTGGTCCATCTCATGTGAAATCCATGAGCCAGACAGCAAATGCAGTCTCACCTGGAGTGTGAGAAAACTGTGGCAGTTGTATAGAGGAGGAGGACTTCCACTTTAGTAAGATTTAGTTACTAGAAACCAGTGTTGTCAAACTCTACAGTTTCTGAGCGGTGAGAAACTCTCAGAGCCTAAGTTTACTACTGACCTGAGAAATTAACAATGGGTTGTGAGTTACTTGTTGATTTATTGATATTTGTTTGAGAAAAGGTCTCACTATGCAGCCCATTCTGGCCTTAAACTCCCAATCCTCCTGCCTCTGCTTCCCAATTGCTGGGACTACAAGCATTCGCCACTACACCTATATAATAATGCATAGCTGATCACTTCTTCAGTTAGTTGCCAGTGTTCTGGAGATGTTCTCTATAGTTTTTTAAAAATGCAAATCTGTAGTTTTCTAGCACCCTGTGAAAAAAGTTAGGATCCGTAGTATGGCCTGGAAAACTTTCACATGGTGGCTTTTCTGGGAAAACATGCCTTGTAGCAGATAACTGTTTCTGGGTTCATTGATTAACAGTTTGGAATTATTGGTAAATTACTGTTAACTGAAGACTTTGGAGCTTGGAAAAATTCTCACATGGCATCTGGCCTCCTGTGTTGGTAACTGCATTTGTTAGATTTACTCAGTACCGGTTTCCCCTGTTTTGTTGCTAGATGTCAAGGTTAAGGGGGAATCCCTAGGTCAAAGGAGCCATTCTTAGTGCATTGAAGCATAGGACTGTGGGGCAGATGGATTAAATGATGGGGAAATGGCAAAGGCATCCTGAAGCACTCTTTGGCTAAGAGGTGATGGAGACACACAGCTTCTGGATTTTTCTGGACTTTTTTTGTGATCAGTAACATTTTCTGCTAGAGCTCTGCTTTTTGAAAAGAAAATGCTAAGTATATCTATAAATATGTCTTGTTTGGTATGCTACAGGACTGTTGGCCCCACAAAGAGTTGTTTTCTTCCAGAAACTGAGTTGAAAACCGTGCTGTCTTCGGCTGCATTGTTCCACTGATACGCACCAGGAGATCCCTCTTCCTGCCCTTCCCAGCTCCATTATTCCGTGACCGGGCCCATAATGGAGATGGTATCTAAATTACATCAGGTAATTCCTTGATAGCTCCCCATAGTCTTATTATCTCAAGCACAACCCCAGATGACTGGGTTGAAGAATCTCCTTCAAACAATCCCGAGAGAGGGGCTCCTGATTCTGAGAGGGAGCGCCTTCCTGACTTTCAAGTTGAAGGGTATACGCCCTTGATGACTGATCCTGCTAGATAGCTTGGGACTGCCCTAGGCCTGACCTGTCTGTGCTCCCCAGTGCCGATTGTGTGTTCATATTGTTTTCTCATCACTGGGAGCGCTGTCTGGGCGGGAGAGAGTGGACTCACAGCGGGCAGGGACAGTGCCCCTTGAGGCCCACTCCAAGTTGACCTTTCCTATCTGCCGCGGCCCGGTTATCACTCTCACCACTCACCCCTTCACCTTGTGCAGAATGCAGCTTCCAGCCCCAAACATCTGCGCTTGGTGGTGGTTGTTCCTGTGTTTACAGTCTTGCTGGTTTCCTGTTCGTGAACATGGGCTGGGAGAAATATTCCGACTTCAGTCTTGGAAGAGGAGGAGCTTAGCTGTATCATTGGTGCAAACTGTCTGTGCCGATGAGGCCAGGGGATATTTTTACAAATTGGCTTTGCCTATTCTCCAAGACCAGCTATTTTTCCCTCCCTTTAAAAAAGAAAAAGTCTGAATTGCATTTAAATTGCACAAAGCCTGACCTTTTTTTTCATCTGCAAAACGACAAGTTTTTGCCTGGCTTAATTTTTCTTGCAGATTTTATTTGTACTTTTCTGCATCAGTGTAAGTTAACAACAGAGGCCCTATGCTAAAAAGAAAGGAGTATATGTTCTTTTTAGAGAAATTTAATTTCATAACAAAATTAAGCAGAAAGTTCCAGAATTTCTTATGTAAACCCTGCCCCACCACATGCAAACATTCTCCCATGGGCATCCCTCACCAGGAGTGGTCCCTTGGTTATCACGGAGGACATGGCATTGTTATCCAGCACCCACAGCTTATACTTGGGTTCACTTCTGTGGTATGTGTGAGTTTGGACAAATGTATAGTGTGTCCACCTTTCCAGTATCACGCAGAATAGTTCATTGCCCTGTGTGGAAAACTGAAAACTCCATGAAGATATATATATATATATATATATATATATATATACACACACATATATATATACATATATACAATATGCAGAATTTTGAGAAAAAAGAAGAATAAAATACCTCTGCTGAATACTACTTTGTCCCTACCTTTCCACCCTGGCATTGTATAAAAACTTTTGATTGTGTGTGACTACGTGGATCTTACAGTGTTTCTAAGTGTTGACAACGAATCTACCAGAGACCTTTCTTTCCTTTTTTAAAGTCTAAGAGCTGTTTTCTCCTCTGCATACTTTCACTGAGGTGTCTGTCACCATAGTACCTAGACAATCCCTCAGGCAGAGAGAGACACGAGTGATTAAATTTCTCCCTGGTTTATGCTCTGTTTGATCCATGCCCAGCAGGATTTGAAGGAGTAAAATAGAGTCCTGAAGAATAAACAAGAATTATTGGAATTTTATGCTTGTAAATTATTGAAATTGGGGGTAGTTAAGGGAGGAGGTAAATAATTTTCCTTTCTGAAAAATTTATATTAACATAATATGGGTTTGGGATTGAAACTTCTTTACCCCATCCCCGCCCTACACCCCTCAAAAATCTTCCCAGACTTAGAGGTGAGATCACAGCTTATCTTAAGAGAAACTACTTAGACTGTAGTAAATCTAAATTAATTGAGACTCCATAGATCCAAAGGGTTTTGTAAATAATGTATAGAGTAGGTTCTTTTGCCTTTTCTATTAAGAAGGGCTATACTGATTACTGGTAAATAAACATGAAAACATGAACAAGGAACTAGAGTGCTGTTGAATTTATAGAAATTTGTCTGAGATGTGTCAAGAGTTTTAGTATTTTATGGATATTCATCATAGGCAGGGATATTTTCTCACTGAATTATAACCAAATTCCCATCCTTTATTTCCCATTTACCTACCACCTGAACAGAGGAACCTCCAAAAATAAGGAAGAGCTTGGGGCCATGGCTGTATAGTTAGGGTCAAGAAATTCACCTGGACTTCCGTAGCATGTGATTTAGGGTATGTTCTGGGTGATAGGATACATATTTAATTGAACAAAAAGAGAAATTATCCTGAAGGACAAGCAAAAGATTGTAGAGGGGGATGGCAAGAAGGGGATGGGTATCTCGAGCTGAAGAAAAAGCAACCCCCCAACTGTGTTTATTTCGAGCAGCTCTGAAATTGGCCCTTCCAGGTTGCGTCACAGACACAGGTGTAACAAATGTGGTAATGTGCCCATGGGGATGTGGTTGATAGCTAGTGGATTTTAGTTTTCTTTTCTCTTTATTGCCTCTCTTTTTAAAATTTTAAGACAATTTTATAGCTAGTGGATTTTAGGTTTCTTTTCTCTTTATTGCCTCTCTTTTTAAATGTTTAAGACAATTTATAGCTAGTGGATTTTAGTTTTCTTTTCTCTTTATTGCCTCTCTTTTTAAAATTTTAAGACAATTTTTCATGTCTCTTCTTTTAATTTTAATTTTTTGAGATGTTTCATGTAACCTAGGCTGGCCTCGAACCTGCTATGTAGCTGAGGATGACCTTGAACTCCCAGCCCTCCTGCCTCAGCCTCCAGAGTCTTGGCATTACAAGTGCACCCCACCATGCCCAGCTCCTTCCTCTTCTTTTTCTTCCCAACTAATAGCACTAGGAACTTCATTGTATTTATTCTCTCTTTTTAAATCATGCTCTTTCCCCATAGTTCTGATGCATTTGCCATTGGCCCAGTAGGGTAGGTGATGCTTTCCCCTAGAGCTTTGCAAGCCATTGCTGACTGTTATGGTTAAGTAGTTGGTTTCTAGATAGTGCTAAAGTACATCCAGCCCTTTTCTTACAGATTGAAGACCCCTTGATTAAGACCTGTGGCTTGAATTTAGACTCTAGTCTTTATAGTATCCTTTTTTCTATCTCACTCAAGCCACTTAACAAGACGTCTAGGGTTCTTTCCTTGTCTATACATTTTCACCACTGGACTAGATAAACATTCTGTAAAAAGTCTTTCACGGGACACTGTTTTTCCAAAATGGTCTGTGAAAGAAAGATCATGGAGTTACTTAATATTCTTTCTGAGATGTATGTGCTCATCAGGGTACTGAAGCTGTGACTAGGCTAACAGCAAATCCTCTACTGTCATCATAGTCTTTGAGCCTCCTTTTATTACAGAACCCCCTTTCGATAACCTGGGCTACTCACTCCATGCCCATTTCTAGCTCTTCCTAGTTGTTATGGGAAAGAAATGGAGGCTCCATTTCCGGCTGCCCCTGAAGCTTCAGCTCTGAGCAGGCTGCCTTGCTCCATCTTGCTAGGTGACCCGTGGGCTTTCTTTCTTTCCTCCTAGAGGTAGGAAGTGGCTTCCCATTGCTGCTAGTCTGCTCAGTGCCATTCCACTACCTGTTAGGCTTCTGAGATTTCCCACTCCCGTGCCATCATTTCTCTTTATTAAATCCTCCTTGATGGAGACATTTGCTTTCCTTGGTTGGCCCCTGTGCCGGTCAGTTTCCATTGTTGTAACAGAATACTTGAAATAATCAACAGAAGGGTGTGTGTGTGTGTGTGTGTGTGTGTGTGTGTGTAGGTTATATTTTCAGAGGTTTTGCTCGATGGTGATTTGACTGTTGTTTTGGGGCCGGTGTCCAGGAAGACCATCCAACCAAAGGAGATATGGTAGAACAAAGCCACTTACTTTCAGGTGGGCAGGAAGGTGAAGAGAGGTAGAGTGGGGGACCGAATGAGTGAAAGAGTCCAGGATTAAAATAGACCCTGCAAAGGTATACCGTCACACCTACTTCCTCCAATTAGCCTTCATCTTTGACAGTTTCTGCTGCCTCCCAATAGTCCATTCAACTGTGACCCCTTCAGTTGATTAACCCTTTGAGTTAGGGCCATTCCCCAAACCTACTGCTGAATACTGTTGAGCTGAGGACCACTTCTCAACACAGCCTTTGAGGAACAGTGCAGATTCCAACTCTTAACACTTTGGTTACTGTAGCAGATATTTGAGACAACCAACTTATAAAGAGAACAGGTTCATCACCATTCTGGCAGTGATCCATGGTCAGTGGGTCTGCGGTGAGGAAGCATGGGGAAGAGGAAATCTGTTCACCTCATTGCCAAGACACAAACAAGAGAGGATGAGGAAGGTCCATCCTTCTAGTCCCTCTAATAATCTTCTCCCACTGACCTGAAGCCTTCCCACCAGGCTATGCCTCTTCAAGTTTCTACTGTCTTCCAATAGCTCCAAGTTGAATAGTATACTTCTAAAGCATGGGCTATTGGAAACATTTTAGTTCCAAGCGATTACATACATTAACGGCTCTTCTTAAAAAGAAAACTCTCTCTCTCTCTCTCTCTCTCTCTCTCTCTCTCTCTCTCTCTCTCTCTCTCTCTCTCTCTCTCTCTCTCTCTCTCGTGTGTGTGTCTGATGTATGGTTATGTGTATGTAGTGTATGTGTGTTGATGTATATGCCATGGCACACGTATAGAGGCTAACCCCAGGTCTCTTGTTCAGGCTATGATAGGCTAGGTGGATTCTGTTTTTACTAAAATATAAGAGTCCTATTTTATAGAGGACTATTTTTACCCCATCTCAACATAGGATTGATGGGATTGCAGACATGTGCTGTCATATCTGGCATATATGGTATCTGGGAATCTGAACTCAGATCCTTGTGCTTGCCCAACAAACCTTTCCCACTGAACCATCTCCCTAATTCCTGGAATATAATTTGGAAATCCTAGACTAGCCTAGGACCCACCTAATTCTAGGGTTGTTCCCTAATATGTTCTCCTGAAATGTAATCAACTTTCACATAAAAGGTACCAGTGAAATTCTTCACAACACTTGTAAAGAATAATATTTTTCGAGCTACTCCAAATAATCATCCAACACACAGGAAGTGACACTCAAAGCCCCATCCTTCATCTGTGCCATTTCACTTGCTTTTATCTAGAGGATGTTAGCTGTCCATATGCACGGAATGAGTTGAAGATGTTTGTGAATGGTTTTCTTGGATCAGAGAGGACCATGGGGTCAGGTCTGCATAGGCTCGGGTCTGTAGGGAGTCAAGCTGACTCTTTGCAACTATGGTTGGCCTTCGTCTGGTATTTCACTTTTTCTATTTATGTTTGAAAATCATGATAAAAGTAGGCACATTTCTTTTTAAGATTTGAGAGTAGACATCTGGGATACTTAGGGGTTGTTAGTGACCCCGTCAAGTTTCTAAAGAGTCAAGTTTAAAAGATTGGATCCTGCTGGAAAACAGGACAAAGATGCTTCTATGGGTTTCTGTTTTAAATTCGGGTAATTTAGGGAGGGCATAAGTCCAAAAACTTGAAGAAAGCAGCTCCAATCAACTCCCAACTTTCTCCCCATGCTCCCCCTTCTCCAAGGGTTCTGAAAGCACAGGCAGATACTACTGCTTTTGGTTTTTGTGAGACAATATAAATATTGTATTTTGTTATGCTTTTTTGCTTTATGGAATAGCTGATGCTGCTTGTTATCCTATTATCTCAGTAAGACAGAAACTTTGACTGGATTAGCTGTGCATATGCACAGAGTAAGACAAGAATTTGGAAGGCTTGGGAGAAATGACATTTAAGGCAATGCTAACCAGTATATAAACAGCATTCAGTCCTATAGTGTGTGTGTGGTGTGTTAGGTGTGAATGTATAGTGCAGAGACCAGAAGTTGATGTTAAATTTTCTCTATTGTTCTCCACCATATTTATTTTTTAGAGGTCAAATTTTATTTCATTTTATTTAAATTTCAAGGTTCTAGGGACCAAACCCAGGGCCCAGCACACATCAGTCAAGGCCTTTACCACCAAGCTACATCTCCAGTCACAACAGGTCTGTTTTTACACAGAACAAAAAGAAAGCTATGACAAAATGAACCCTTAGAAAATCAGTTAAAACTGATACAAAGGTTATAATCTAGAAAAATGTGTCATTTGTTAAATAATTTATGAAAAATAATATTGAATCAGTTAGCAGTTAACCTCCTCAGCAAAGTCTACTACTATAGTTAGACTGCCCAACACAGGTGAATCTGGCCAGGGAGTTTGTTCTTTGGAGGTAGACTTTTCTCTGGTCCTTCCTCAGATCATGGTAAATTGAGTGGAAAACTCAATTCTGGGGTTTGTAGACATTCAAATCCAAAAGCTCACAGGAGTGCAAAAGTTAAGTATTATGCCTGCCGAGGCATCTATGTAGCCCCATGTTTTATTTGGAGTGGGGGAACAGAGTCTTGCTCTGTAGTTAGTGCTGGCCTTGCTCTCATGATCCTTCTGCCTTAGCCTCTCCAGTGTTGGGATCACAGGTGTGTCCAGCATGGCTGGTTCATGTGTTGTTTTTGGAAATTACTTGAGGCCTTCCAGTTGCTTGCCATTCAGGGAGGCTGAATATCCCGCCACAACCTGGTTTCTGTCTTAGTTGCCTTGCTGAAACTGCTTCATTAATGGCAACTAATGGCTTTCCCAAGTCTTCATCCCCTTCTCCACAAGGCCTGATCACACTGGTGCTCCTTTCTGCTCTGTTGTCAGCTTGCCATGTGTTGGACATTTCTGAAACACAACAGATTCAGAAGATTGACACCGGGCAGGAGAGCTACACACTGGGCCCAGGGAAGGGAGGGTACAGGAAGGTCATACTTGGGTGCAGGAGTGAAGAGAAGTGGTCACCGGGTCCTTTGATGGTCAGAGAGAATTCTTGGGGGACCCATTGTGGAGGCTGTTGCCACCAGTGTGCTCTGACATTAGCTGCAGA